TCAAAATTCATTTGTTACTGATGATATCGAATGAAGTGTAAAACACAAATAAAGATTGGAAAACGGAACCGAGAAGGAGTACAGACCTGGCCTTACTTGTCATAAATTTATCGTTAAAAATTCAACAAGGGTGTAGCTCTCTCAAAGGGATGCTTTGAATTTAATAATGCAAAACAATGGAAGGCCGGAAATCTCAATAAAAGTGCAATTTTTTCGAATCTTAAGTCCATTTTTCCTTCAAAGTAAATCTGATCGCAAATAGCTTACAAATTTCTTGACGTGCTTCTTGATCTCGATCCACACGTCTCTTACCATTCTTCCTTTGATGTCTTTCCACAAATCCATCAATATTTCCTTGGAATATGTCTTGGAAATTAAGTGGACCTTAAATTGTTTGTTTCCTCTTAAACAAGCTCTCATGAATAAGAATGAATTCGATAACAGGCTGTGTATTTCCAGCCAGAGGACCACGAGACCGGTCTTGTTAAAACGCAGACCGCAGACTGTTGACTGCCGACCGCAGACCACTGACTGCAGACCGCAGACTGTAGATCTTGTTGACTGTATCATCATTTTTTTTTGCTTCTTTTCTAACTCTGATTTGTAGGGTGTGTACACCTTTTTCTTACTTTTTAGGTAACGTTGGGAGTGGAGCAGTTTTCATTTTTTGGGCCCTACATGACGTTATTTTACGAGGTTATTTCGATCATTTCAAGCTCATGTAACTTAGCAGCAATTAGAGCGAAGTTACAGGCTCGACTTTATCGTGTACATAGACATTAGCCTTACACGGCAAAAGATGGAGATCGACGAGGGTACCTTTTATCTGAATTTTTCCTTGTATTGAAATGAATTAAGCTTTTGACATATACTCTTGTTAAGGTTACTTCCCCACTTCATTCGAGAAAAAATTCGTACGCGCGCTAGTTTCGAGAAAACTCTAACAAGCTATACATTAAAAGAAAGCGTGAGAAATGCAGTTTACGATAAAAATATCATTTGTTCGTGCTGCGGATCCCGCAGCACGAGCAAAATGGCTGTAAAGTCTTATTCCCAAGCCATCAATCGACAAAAGTGTGTCAGGCTTTTCCGATATTCTTATTGGTTGTCTTGATATCCGCATCTAAAGTTGGAGCAGCGTAAAATATGCAAAACGTGTTGGGTAAATGGACACCACGTGAAAAATATTTCAATTATCAAAATTCCCTGGCACGCTTTCCTACGTCATTATCCCTGAAATGTTGTGGCCAAATCTCACGAAAATTGATCAAATCTACATACCCTATAAATTCGCTGAAAGTGGATGTATTCCTCTTAAAATCAAATGCGAGATTTTAGCTCTTAAAAGTTTGTAAACAACTAGCGCCACACCAAGAGATTATCCCACTTCCTAAAACCGAGAACCAATGGGAAGAGGGGATCTCCTAGCGTCAATGACAATGGATCAAGATTTTCCTGGGAAAAGTATTGCATAGCAATCCCGTTTTTCTTTTTTTTTATCTCACTCTGTTGAACGTTAAGTGATGGGCAAAGCTAGCACAGGAAAAACCCGCGGCGAAAAGGGTAAAGCCTAAATAATATTTCCGAAAAGCAAAACAGTGAATCTACAGACAGCTTAAGGAATATCCTTATATATATATATATACTATAATCTTTAATGAGGATGCCAACGTCACGAAAGTGGTTTACATGCAGAAGGGTCCTCTTAAGCTAAATACTAATACAATGATAAATTACAAATAGCAACAAATAACTAAAGCTAAATCTAAGAACTAATTCAAAATACTAATCACAAAGTATTAAATAAAAGTAATACTAGGAAAGTCAGTTAAAATTCAAAATTAAATTTAGACAGGCCACTTTGAAGGCAGGCAGTGAGTTTGCATTTCTTAGTGAGATGTCTACACCATTCCATATGTCTGCGCTAAAGTTAACTGACGACCAATGACCACATCTTCTTGTGGCACTGGATTTTCGAACGTCATTTCTCGATCTTGTGTTGTAACCATGAAAGTCACGATTAAAATGTGACAGGAATAGTATTACATGAATGGTTGTTAATTAATTTATACATAAAGATGGCATGGTATTCCTTTCTACGACGCAGTAATGGTTTCCAGTCAAGTCTCTTTAGGGCCTCAGTTGCGGAAAAATAAACAGGTAAGTCTAAAATGAGGCGAGCGGCCTTATTCTGCAACACTTGCAGCTCAGACATTAAGGGCGCATTTCCGCGATCTCCCCAAATGATATCCCCATAGTCAAAAATAGGTGGAATGAAACTATTGAAAAACATAATTCAATTCAATTCTAGCATCGAGGGGGAAGGCAAGATTTAATATGCCTTAAAAGACCTAACTTTCTACTGACCTTAATACGAATATAATCAATGTGGTCAGTCCAGGAGAAGCGGTTATTAATCACAATGCCTTGGTAAGTAAAAAAATCTACGTTATCGAGAGGGGTATCATCAACGGAAATAATTAAGGACTCAACTTTATTCAAGCGGGAACTACTACCGATAAGCAGAAATTTGGATTTTTGAACATTCAGAGTCAGTTGGTTTGCCCGAAGCCACCTACATATACGTTTTAAGTCAGCGTTAATCTGATTTTGTAAGTCTACAGTAGATTTGGAAGCGAGATATAAAACAGTGTGATCTGCATATAAAGTAACCTGACAGAACTGCAAAACATCAGGTAGATCATTCATGTAAATTATAAATAAAAGCGGGCCCATTATAGAGCCTTTAGCAACGCCAATCGATACAGCGGCAGCTTTGGAACAAGCATAATCACAGCTAGTCATTTGTGTTCATTATCGCTGAAATGAGTTCCCTTGGGAAGGTTTATTTATGATTTCATACGATTCGAGGCCATTGCCTATGTCTTTGATTCAAGGCCGGTACTTGCTTATGAAAAGGAAACTTCTTTTTTAACTCTATGTCCGACAAATGTAGATCTGATGGCGCCCTCTTTGTTCGCAATTTCGATGCCAGTGTGGATAGGAATGCCAGGACTGTTTTTTTCCTGACAAAATGGCGCCATTTCTCTCTTTCTTGGGCCTGTTTTTTTCTTTCCTTTGCCTAAGAACTCCTCTCTAATTTTGATTTTTGTTTTTTATCGATGAGAAAAAACTTTCATTTAGCAGAGAACTTCCACGTGTGGATTTTGTCAAGTACGCACTGTAAACAAGATACGCAAATAACATGAAATTGCCGCGATTATTCTCCCTGGGGTTTGCCCATTTACGAGATTATAACACCTTCCTGATTTATTAACTTTCATTTGAAAATACGTTTTCCTAAATAAGTTGGACGCTTTTTGAGATTTTCCAATTTTTCTTGTTGTAAACGTTAGGTAAAATGTCTAACTTCAATCTAGTCCAATAAAAGAAAAAAAAAAAACGATTTTTCAGCCTCTGAAGGTGGGAAGTAACATTAACTTTTAGGCTTTCTCCTTGTATTTTGTTTGGACAGTGACACTAATTTGGAATTAATGAAGGGGCTGTGTGGACGAGGCAAACAATTTCTCATTAGGGTCCCTCACAATGGTTTCCAAATGATGTTTTTGGCCGACATTTAAACAGTACTCTGGAGATACGCGAGCAAAAACGAAAATGTCATGGGACACCAGACCAAAATCTTCATTTTTCGAAAGGACTTTGTTATTAAGATGAAACATATGTATAGCTACATAAAATGTTGTGGAAGCTCCTCAACACGAGGAGGTTGACAAGTCATTGCCAATTTTCAGCCCAGCTCCCCCACCCAGACTGGTCCCTAAATCTCCTTGAATAACCTCTTCTAACCTCTCCTAGCTCTAGATTACGCAATTTAGCTGTCAATGTTGTAGAATCATTTTGAAAATGTTTATTTTAATACTGCACACCTACAGAATAGCAGCCTTCATCTTAAATGTTTACTATCATTATTATTATTATCATTTATTTATTTTATGGCATTGTTCATACTTTTTAAATTTTCTCTTCATGAACATTTATATACAGCTATAACTCTTAGTTGTTGTTTATCTTAGTTATCGGTTAGCGATTATTAGTTCGTTAAAAGACCAAGAGCTAACACAATTGGACACACTGTTAGCAAACCATTACCTTTTGACTTACTATAAAAACACCCTTTTCAAAGACTACATATTTATTGATAACATAAATGGCAGTTATTAGGGAATCGTCGGTGGAAGTATGAGCCCTTATATTTGACATAAATGCCATCCAATAAAATGCAAAATATAGAAAGTGATAACCTGCAGACTCGTTCCAAAACTGCCATATTGGTAAAAAGATTACTGCACATCCATTGTCAGTCTGTGAAAAAAAATTATTTAGGCGGGGCTGAAATTTTGGGTTTTTCCTCTGTCGAAGATAGGGTTCATTTCATAGAATTAATTCTTTCCGTTCATGTCAGAGCTTTATCAGAACTTATGATTACCAAATTGCCCTTACTAATATTTCCCTCACCAGTATTTCCCTCACTAGTGAGTTTTCTCTGTGGGGGAGGTATCAGTAAGGAGAATTTTTTAACCATATTTATAATGGTAATTGAACTGAGGGGAGTGCAATTTGGGCTGGAATCGTACGCGTGATTTCAAAATCGAACGAGGGCGCAGCGCGAGTTTGATTTGAAATCACAAGTATGATTTCTGACCAAAATTGCACGACACGAGGTTCAATTACCACTTTATTACATCCATTTTGAAATCACTCAAATACAGGACTTGGTCAATTCATATATTTTATTGATGCAGTACTGAGCCGGTTTTTAAATAAAAAGCAGAACCGGAAACGCTTTGAAATCTTATTTTATATGCAAAACAGAAAGAATTTGACGTGTGTGTCAAAAACGCAGTAAAATGATGCGATTTAGTGCAAAAAATGGTGCGATTCGTGAATAAATCGCACTAATTAGAGCCAATCAGATTACAGGGACTACCAGTGATTTCAAAATGGATGTAATAGAATGGGAAACATTGCCTTCACCTTACCTTTATACCTGCAAAGAAAGGAAACGGAACAACCTTGGGAGTGCTCCAAATATTCCAAGGTGATGTAGTATACCGTGCAGTTACTTTGCAGGATATCTTTTGAAGAAAAGAAAATGCAGGCAAGCACAGTTTGATGACACTTTACAGCTACTGTAGATTTCCTTTCTTTTCATTAAAATATCGATAATAAAAGAGTTAAAATGCAGCCTGTCATGTGTATAACTTTCTCATGTGAATTACAAATAGTTTTTAAGAGCGTGTCCACGAGAAAACAGGGCAGGGGGCGATAAATCTCAAATCACTGATTTGGCTCAAGCTTGGCATAAATGCTAAGTATCATGAGTTAAGAAATGTTTGAGACTAATAGGTCAAAATATTTAATTCCCTGGGAGATATAGGGTCCCCCTAGGAAAATCCACATTTCCCGCATTCTTTGCATAATTAATTAGCCAACTTTGCATTGCTGCTGTGACAAACTGAAAATTCGTCTGCAAATTCAATCAAATGGGTTGTATTTTATATTTATCACACCTCTAGAAAATTGAATTGTTTTAACTGTTTCATTTCATTTTTTCCCTTACCTCTCGCATAAGTAAAGACGACTTTTTCTGGTTTTGACAAAGTCCAAAAATAGGGGTATTTTAAGGCCCAATATCTCCGATGAGCAACCACTTCTGATCATTATTTCTATATGGGTAGTGAAAGCCACTACTTGACCTCCAAAACCAGTAATAAAAATGTTCAGAATTTATTTCACAGCCCATGCTGACGTGAAATTTACATCTACCTCCCGCTTTTTAGTCTATATCATCAAAATTCCGTACACCACATCTTTGTTTTATTATCTTAAAATAACTTGAAATTTACAAGAAATTTCACTTTTCACGTTAATTTAACAATAACAATAACAATAAATCCTTATTCCCCTGGCTCCGCAGATAGCAGTGCTAGTCGAGGTGGGCCAGGATAATCAGTAAAAGAAGAGGAAAATACACACAATTAAAACTACAGATGAATAAATAAATGGTAAATACGAAAACAGATTAAGTCTACGGAAACAACTATGTGGTTAATTCAAGTTGACAGCGCATTATGTTGTGAGTGAATACATAAGATAAAATGGATAAGGTAGGATTGGCGAGACAAAGGTGATAGCTACTAAGAATATTTACTAACTTTAGAGATCATCGATTCTAAATCTTCGTAGGAGTCTTCTAATCCTAATATATTGAACAAGATCGTGCGAATTTTTCTTTTAAAGATGAATTTTGGTAGCGTTCGGAGCTTAGTTGGTATCTCATTCCACAGTTTTGCACCGATTCTTGAAAACGATTTTCGTTCAATTTCAAGTTTTGATTTTTTAATGTAAAAGTTGTTGGAGGCTGAAGATCGCGTATTATATGAATGAATTTTTGCAGTAGGGATGAACGAATCCTTCAGTTGTGAAGGAATAACATCATTATTTACATCATGTATTGTCTCAGCTAGCAATTTATAATACATAAAGTGAATAGGTAAAGTCTTTACACAAAGGAATAGAGGAATGGCGAGATCATACCTGTCAGCGAAACATATGAAACGGAGAGCACGTTTATGGAAGATCAAAAGCTTATTTAATTAAGTTTTACCAGCTTGTCCCCATGCAATTAAACCGTATCGTAAATAAGGAACAACAAGGTAGTTGTATACACCAAGAAGAGAATGGAAAGGAACAAAATGCCTTATCTTAGACAGTAATCTAATGGTTTTGCTAAGTTTCAATATCATAGAGTCAATATGGTTTTTCCATGACAGTTTATAATCGATTAGGACACCGAGCTATTTCACATGGTCTTTACATTCCAGGTGAGTTAATGTATTTGTTTGGCTATCGTTAATATATGTTGTGGGAAGAAAGGGAAGGCGTTTTTGGTAAGGGCGAAAAATTACGAAATTCGTTTTTTTGAGATTAAGGGCTAATTTGTTAGATACAAGCCACTGATACACATTATTTAGTTCGACATTCATTTCTTTTTCAAGAGTTTTGAGGTCTCTGTGGCAATAAATAATATTTGTGTCACCAGCAAATAAATAAAATTTCAATTTCTTTAAGCTGCAGCAAATGTCGTTAACATAAATTTCCCACAGAGTATCGTTTAAACATGAACGAGGAGAGAATATTTGAATAGCGCAGATTTAGCCATTTTCGAGGAATTTTTTGGTAGCCATATTTGGATTACTCTCAAGGAAACGCAGCAGTTGATGATGAACATCAAGGGCGCATGTAGTCGAAATTTCTGATCAAAGATGGCAGATTTTCCTTTTGATTAACATCACCTTTTAGGCATCAAATTTTAGTTTAGTTTATTAGATTCGCCGACAGGCAGGGACACCTTAACAGCTTGCGCCAATTACTGCGGCCCAGTAAACCCACCCACATCCCACCCCAGGGGAGTACATCCATCACACAGTGATCTCGTGTGTGGGAAATGAACGTCTCCTATCCCTAACCCCACAGGAGACGGGACCTCCATTTATTCGTCCCTATCCGAGAAGACTAGAATATCTAACCATTTCTTGATGTTATAGAAAGGTAGCAAATTCTTCTCAATTATTTTAAGACCTTGAGTGTTGGTCCGGCCGGTGCTCGAACCCTCGACCTCCCGCACGATAGTCCAGCGCACTATCCATTGGGCTAACTGGGCGGCGGTTGCCACCAACACATATCATGTAAGTATCACGCCGTAAAAGACCAATCATCCTAGTGGATCTTTCCGAAAGCTCTAACTGCTTTTAATATTTCAATAAGGCAACGAAGCAAATCGAATCTGGTACATTGTTGACATAATGGCTACTTATCTAACCAATGTTATCAAGCTAAAATTTGCAACTGAGGCACCAAAGAGACATGTATGTACCATCAAGTTTCTCCACTTGATTTCTTTTGGCTGGTAGATATAAAATACAACCCAGTTGATTGAATTTGCAGATGGACTTTCAGTTTGTCACAGCAGCAATGCAAAGTTGGCTAATTAATTATGCAAAAAATGCAGGAAATGGGTTTTTTCCCAGGGGGACCCTATATCTCCCAGGGAATTAAATATTTTGACCTATCATTCTCACACATTTGTTAAATCATGATACTTAGCATTTGTGCCAGGTTTGAGCCAAATCGGTGATTTGAGGTTTATCGCCCCTGCCCGGTTCTGTCCGGTTTACTCGTGGACACGCTCTTAAGTCCTTTTGACTTATATTTCCAGCATGAAATATTATTGATACTATACAAAAGGGGAGAGAATGGTATGAGGAGTTCAAATTCCGCAAGACTTACCAATCGGTTTGGTTTATAATATTTCTTGCTGCCCTCTAGTCGAGAAAATAATGGTTTCCCAGGGCATACGGAGTCATATTCAGTTCTTCCAGGCGCTAATGGTCCACAAATGTCATCGGTGAATATATGTTTTCCTTCCATATACCAAGTAAACAGATACGAAACATTGTACCATGACTGCATACTTGGATTGACTAAGTCGGCTTCGCACCGAAGGTTCACACTAGCGTCTTTCCCTGGGGGCTCAACGACTATTCTTGGTACCCTGATCAAAGACATATCAAACTGATCTGGTGGAAGAAAAATTTAACGATAATCTTATGAAAATGAACTTTTGATTATAAATAGCAGATGCCATGCTTCCTTAACTTTCCACATTGGAGATCAATAAATTATTTCACCCAAACTGAAACACACACATAAACACACACACACACACACACATACACACACACACACACACACACACACACACAAGCACACACACACACACAAGCACTCAGCAAACAATATAAAATTACACGCTGCAACCTTAAAAAAATTCTGCTCGCGCAAGAAGGTATGACCCCATACGCTAAAGCCTGACTGAAAAGATATATTATGTATTTATAAATTAAACCATTTATGTTTTGTTCTGCAGCATTTTTCGTTTCGTCAGAGTTTGTGGGATTACAAGATCTGGTGTAACCACTGAATCGATCGGTAAATTTTAGAATCTTTTAATCCAGGTTCATCAAATAAACGGCATACAAATATGTTTCTGAAAGTAGAATCACACAATCGAAACTTGCAAACGCGAAGAAAAATAAAAGCAAAATGAAAGTATATAAAGCCCAAATAAACCGAAATATCGAACACTTACAAACAACTGAGGGTTCCCTCTCAAAATAATTGAAAAATGTTCGTCGAAATCGATCGGATGAAAACGATTCACATTCACAATCTTCAGAACAAAAATCATCATACACATGGCCGAACAAGATCACTTGCTCAGCCTGGTAACAACTAAGAGTTGACTCATGTTATAATCACGAAATGTCCGTTTGGAACCTACATTTGGAAGTTTTTTTTTGTTTTAATTAACTTTCTATCCTTTGATCTCTTGAATAGGGAGTCTTTGTCTCTAGTTTGGGGCCTTCAATAGAGGTNGGAAATGTGGTAATAATAATAGTAATAATAATTAAAGTTTAATGCCTTTACGTGGGGCATGGTTACCCATATTGCCCGAGCCAGAGGCTCATGTATGAAACGCAAGACAACAACTCACCCATCCCACCGTAGGGAGGACATCCATCACACAGTAATCTCGTGCGTGGGAAATTAACGTCTCCTGCCCCTAACCCTGCAGAAGACGGGACCTCCATTTATTCCACCCTATCCGAGAAGACTAGAATATATAACAATTTCTTGATGTTATAGAAAAGTAGCAAATTCTTCTCAATTATTTTAAGACCTTGAGTGTTGGTCCGGCCGGTGCTCGAACCCTCGACCTCCCGCACGATAGTCCAGCGCACTATCCATTGGGCTAACTGGGCGGCGGTTGCCACCAACACATATCATGTAAGTATCACGCCGTAAAAGACCAATCATCCTAGTGGATCTTTCCGAAAGCTCTAACTGCTTTTAATATTTCAATAAGGCAACGAAGCAAATCGAATCTGGTACATTGTTGACATAATGGCTACTTATCTAACCAATGTTATCAAGCTAAAATTTGCAACTGAGGCACCAAAGAGACATGTATGTACCATCAAGTTTCTCCACTTGATTTCTTTTGGCTGGTAGATATAAAATACAACCCAGTTGATTGAATTTGCAGATGGACTTTCAGTTTGTCACAGCAGCAATGCAAAGTTGGCTAATTAATTATGCAAAAAATGCAGGAAATGGGTTTTTTCCCAGGGGGACCCTATATCTCCCAGGGAATTAAATATTTTGACCTATCATTCTCACACATTTGTTAAATCATGATACTTAGCATTTGTGCCAGGTTTGAGCCAAATCGGTGATTTGAGGTTTATCGCCCCTGCCCGGTTCTGTCCGGTTTACTCGTGGACACGCTCTTAAGTCCTTTTGACTTATATTTCCAGCATGAAATATTATTGATACTATACAAAAGGGGAGAGAATGGTATGAGGAGTTCAAATTCCGCAAGACTTACCAATCGGTTTGGTTTATAATATTTCTTGCTGCCCTCTAGTCGAGAAAATAATGGTTTCCCAGGGCATACGGAGTCATATTCAGTTCTTCCAGGCGCTAATGGTCCACAAATGTCATCGGTGAATATATGTTTTCCTTCCATATACCAAGTAAACAGATACGAAACATTGTACCATGACTGCATACTTGGATTGACTAAGTCGGCTTCGCACCGAAGGTTCACACTAGCGTCTTTCCCTGGGGGCTCAACGACTATTCTTGGTACCCTGATCAAAGACATATCAAACTGATCTGGTGGAAGAAAAATTTAACGATAATCTTATGAAAATGAACTTTTGATTATAAATAGCAGATGCCATGCTTCCTTAACTTTCCACATTGGAGATCAATAAATTATTTCACCCAAACTGAAACACACACATAAACACACACACACACACACACATACACACACACACACACACACACACACACACAAGCACACACACACACACAAGCACTCAGCAAACAATATAAAATTACACGCTGCAACCTTAAAAAAATTCTGCTCGCGCAAGAAGGTATGACCCCATACGCTAAAGCCTGACTGAAAAGATATATTATGTATTTATAAATTAAACCATTTATGTTTTGTTCTGCAGCATTTTTCGTTTCGTCAGAGTTTGTGGGATTACAAGATCTGGTGTAACCACTGAATCGATCGGTAAATTTTAGAATCTTTTAATCCAGGTTCATCAAATAAACGGCATACAAATATGTTTCTGAAAGTAGAATCACACAATCGAAACTTGCAAACGCGAAGAAAAATAAAAGCAAAATGAAAGTATATAAAGCCCAAATAAACCGAAATATCGAACACTTACAAACAACTGAGGGTTCCCTCTCAAAATAATTGAAAAATGTTCGTCGAAATCGATCGGATGAAAACGATTCACATTCACAATCTTCAGAACAAAAATCATCATACACATGGCCGAACAAGATCACTTGCTCAGCCTGGTAACAACTAAGAGTTGACTCATGTTATAATCACGAAATGTCCGTTTGGAACCTACATTTGGAAGTTTTTTTTTGTTTTAATTAACTTTCTATCCTTTGATCTCTTGAATAGGGAGTCTTTGTCTCTAGTTTGGGGCCTTCAATAGAGGTGTCCCATTCTTAGATAGGGTCTAGGTGGCACACACCTATCCGAAATTTGTCGTAGTTTACCCCCTTCACCCCCCTCTCCGAAAATTTGAACTGTTGATAAAGATATAAGCAGAAGAAAAGAGCCTTGCAGTTATCTACGGAAATTAAGCGGTAGTGACTTTAGGGTCGATTACCAGTTTCGCTTAGTTTTTACGTGCGTGCGTGCGTAAAATTTCAATTTACGTTCGCAAATAAAATAGAGACAATGCATAAAAGGTCGCTTGTAAGCGTAGAAGTTGAACCTCGCTCAACTTCTCGTTTAAGCTCAGCACTATTTATCTTGTCTCAAGCTATTTTATTTACGCGATTAAAATTGACGAGCGTTAACGTGCGCAGCCAAAAACGCGTTAGTGGAAATTAACCTTCGCGTTTTTGGCTACGCACGTTAACGCACGTAAATTTTAATCACGTAAATAAAACAGTGGCAAGATAAAAGTGCTGAGCTTAAACGAGAAGTTGAGCAGGGTCAGCTTTTATGCTTACGAGGAACCTTTCGTGCATTTTTTTTTTTATTCAAGAACTTAATTCTACGCAAATACGCACGCAAAAATTACGCGGCATTGGAAATCATCCCTAAGTCTAAAAAGTGAGAATTCCGCGCTGGAATGACTGCTGCTTGAGTTGTCTACATTACTACGAGGGTCTTTCTTCTGTTACAGGCCACCCATTTATTATCACACAACACATTGCTGAAAGTCTGCTTGCTCCGTACCATCTTGAGAGCATTCTTAGCTTGCAAGCACGTTACTAGGCGGCCATGTTGGTGGTGTGCAGTGGTCAATACAAAAGAATTTGTTCTCGAAGAATATACTTGGGCTCATGTATGAAACGCAAGACAACAACTCACCCATCCCACCGTAGGGAGGACATCCATCACACAGTAATCTCGTGCGTGGGAAATTAACGTCTCCTGCCCCTAACCCTGCAGAAGACGGGACCTCCATTTATTCCACCCTATCCGAGAAGACTAGAATATATAACAATTTCTTGATGTTATAGAAAAGTAGCAAATTCTTCTCAATTATTTTAAGACCTTGAGTGTTGGTCCGGCCGGTGCTCGAACCCTCGACCTCCCGCACGATAGTCCAGCGCACTATCCATTGGGCTAACTGGGCGGCGGTTGCCACCAACACATATCATGTAAGTATCACGCCGTAAAAGACCAATCATCCTAGTGGATCTTTCCGAAAGCTCTAACTGCTTTTAATATTTCAATAAGGCAACGAAGCAAATCGAATCT